AAGGTCCATCCATGGTGTCACTGTAATTTTCACTCTTTTTTTTTTTTTTAAGATTTTATTTATTTATTTGAGAGAGAGAATGAGATAGAGAGAGCATGAGAGGGGGAAGGGTCAGAGGGAGAAGCAGACTCCCTGCTGAGCAGGGAGCCCGATGCGGGACTCAATCCTGGGTCTCCAGGATCATGACCTGAGCCGAAGGCAGTCGCTTAACCAACTAAGCCACCCAGGCGCCCCTGTAATTTTCATTCTTATATGGCCCTTCTATGACTTAGGAGTCAGGATTACGGTATTGATCACTGGACTAGCAATATGGTGATCACTGGTGATTCTTTGAAAAGCAGTTTGTGTGCACTGGTGGGGTCAATGCCCCATAGGAGTTAAGTTCAAGGGAGAATAGGAGAGGAAATAAAGACAGTGAGTTAAAGAAGAAAAGAAAGAAATAGCTGGAGGGGACAGTAGGGTTGAGGAAGAAATAGCAACAGCTTTGGGATTTTTGTTTTATTTTTCGACTCTTAGGGGCAGAGGATTAAGTTATTCATCTTCTTTAGTTCAGGAGACATTATCAGTCTTGACCCTTTTAAACCCCTCTCTTATTTTGTTTATTGTTTCCCTTTTATCCCCCCCATTTCCTTCTACTCCTATAGGCAATTATTCTAGTTTCTATTTCATTTGTTTCTAATCTACATACAGTAGAGTTCCCCTTTTTTGGTATCCAGTTCTATGAATTTTGACAAACGCATAGTAATGTAAGCACTGCCACAGTCAAGGTATAGAACAATTCCATCACACAGAAAATTCTTTCCTGCTACCTTTTCTGTCATCAACATGTCCCATGTGCCACAGCCCCGTGCAGCCACTGATAGATTGTCTTTCCCTATGATTTCTGCAATTTTATCTTTTCCAGAATGTCATTTAAGTGAGTCATACACTGCATAGTCTGGATTCGTTCACTTAGCTCGTGCATTTGAGGTCCATCCACATTGCTGTGTGTATCAATAGTTCGGTCACTTTTATTGCCGAGTGATATTCCACTGTGGAATGCACCACACGCTGTTTATCCATTCACTGGTTGAGGACATTTGGGTTATTTCCAGCTTTGGGTGATCATAAATGAAGTTGCTCTGAACATTTGCATAAATGTTATTGTGTAATATAATACATAGTATAATGTATATATTTGAATGTATAATACATTCATACAAATGAAACTGTAGTTTCATTTCATATGGGTAAATACCCAGGAGTAGGAATTCTGGGTCATATGGTAAGTGTATGTTTATAAGAAACTGCCAAACTGATTTCCAGATGGGCAGTACCATTTTCATTCCCACCAGCAAAGTGTAATGGTTCCAGTTACTCCATATCCTTACTAGCCCTTGGTATTGTCAATATTTGTTAGTTAAGTGATTCTAAGAGGTGTGTAGTAGCATTTCCTTGTGGTTTTAGGTTGTGTTTCCACAATTGCAAGTGGTGTTAAACACCTTTTACGTGCTTTATTTGCCACCTGTATGTCCTCTAGGGAAGTATCTGACCAAGTTTTTGCCCACTTATTAGTTTGAGTTGTTTTCTTACTGTTGAGTGTTGGGAGTTCTTCATATGATCTGGATATCCTTTGTCAGATATATGACTTGCAAATATTTTCTTCCAGTCTGTAGTTTACCTTTTTATCTCTTTTATCTCTCGCAGAGTGGAAGTTTTAATTGTTATTAAAAAGTACAATTTACCCAAAAAATAAAATAAAATAAAAAGTACAACTTAACAATTTTTCTTTTATGGATCATGATATTGGTGTTGTGTCTAAGAACTCTTTGCTTAAACCCAGGCCATAAAAATTTCCTCCTGTGTCTTTTTTTCCTAGAAGTTTTATAGTTTTATGTCTTATGTTTAAATCTATGCTCCATTTTGGGTTAATTTTTGTATAAGATATAAGGCTCATGTACCACGGATATATGTACCGCACATACGTGTTCCTCGCCTATGGCTCGCTTATTGGGTTTCTTAATAACTTTATTGGTTTTTCCTCTATGTTGGTCTGTTTTCTTTCTCACTGATTTTCACTCTTATTTTTATTATCTCCTTTCTCCTAATAACTTGGAACTTAATTTGCTCTTTTTCTGGATTCTGAAAAGCTTAGATCTAGAAGTTTATATCATTGACTTTATACCCATCTTCCTTTCTAGTAAAGTAACTTAAAGCTATAAATTTCCCTCTAAATGCAGTTTTACCTGCATCCAGAAAATTTTGGTATGCTGTATTTTTGTTATCATTCAATGCAAAATATGTCAAGACTCTCCTCGTGATTTTCCTTTCTGACTTATGGGTATATTAGAAGTATGTTGTTTAATTTCCAAGCATTGGGGATTTTTTACCTATCTTGTTTTTTGGGATTTTGATCTAATACCATTGTGGTCAGAGTTTTGCTTTATATTCCAGCATCTGGTATATGCTGGGAACCATAGGATGTGCTCCTGAAAAGAATGTGTATTCTATAGTTGTTAGGCATAGGGCTCTATAAATATTAATTTGATCAAATTGGTTGATAGTATTTTTCAAGTCTTTTGTAGCTTTACTTGTACCATTTACTGGAAAAGCGTGTTAAGATCTTCAGCTGTAACTGTGGTTTATCTGTTTCTCCCTTTAGTTTTGAATTTTTTTGCTTCAGGTATTTTAAAGTTGCTATTAGATATATGTATATATTTCATATTGCTCTGTCTTCTTGATGAATTAATCCTTGTATCATTCTAAAATGTTCCTCTTTGTCTCTAGTTGTACCCTTTGTCTTGAGGTCTACTTTTTCTACTATTAATGTAGCCACACCAGGCTTTTTATTCATTCCACTCTTTTAATTTACGTCTGTTGCTGTGATTTAAGAGTCCTTTTTGTAAGTGGCATATAGTTGGGTCTTGCTTTTTCATCCACTCTGAAACATCTGCCTCTTAGTTGAAGTAAGCAACCAATTTTTAACATCCATTTATGCTGCTGTGTGTCCTTTTAATCCATTGCACGGTTCTCCCTGGTGTGCACCTCCATGTTGTGCCCGCCCATCCTGCTTGTGATTCAGCCCTGGATGCCTCCAACTCCCCCATCAAAAATACTATTGCCATGAACATCCTTGTAGAGTCCCCTTAGCTGGCTAAGATTCCATTTGGGATGTTTACGCAGAGTAGAGTGGCTGGCTTGCAAGGTTTGCCTATACTTAATTTGACTAAGGATTGCCAGATTTAACAGTACGTCCACATGGTGATGGGAATGATCCAGAAGGGAGAGCAAAAAGATGATGAGGAAAGAGTGGGGAGGCTTGCTGCTGTCCCATGCCTGAGACAGTGGGGCTGGAACCCACTGTACAGGTGGAGGGGTTTGCCTCGGCCAAGAATCGGGACAGTTCGTTCCCAGAGAAGAAGGGAAAGCAAATGTTTGGGCCAATACAGGTAGATGGGTAGATGTGGGGGTGGGAGCTTGGAGAAATTTTCTTCTGTGACTTCTGTTTTCTCAATGATGTAGGAAGCAACCTGACAAAGGATGGGGGAGGAGGCACTGGGAATTTAAAGAGAAGGAAGGTATGAAAGAGCTGTCTTGGAGTTCAGGAGCGTGCGGGACCAAGGCAACAGAGCCTGATTGCTGGGCACTTTGCAGGGCACGGTGGGCCTGAGCGAGAGCCAGCAGGACTCGTGGGCGAGGCCCGGGTGTGGGGCAGCCCAGCACAGGGCTCAGTGTACTCCGGTTCACAGTGCTGTACGTCTGGCACTGCGCTCAGCTCTGTGGGCACAGGGTGGGCAGCGCAGGGCGGCTCACAGCACTCACCCTGCAGTGGGAGCGAGCGAGCAGCTGTGAGATAATCATGCGCTTACTGTTTTGCGGGAGGCCAGGGGCCGTGACAGTGCAGGGGGGTTGTGCTCCCCATTTCAGTGGGGAGTTCTGTAATTCTTTGAGCCTGCTGTTGAGCAAGGCACTCAGTGCTGTTTTGTCTATAGCTTGATGTGTTGTAGAAGTGATGCACGCCGTTCCAAAAGAAATTAGAAAAATGTTGGGGCGCCTGGGTGGCTCAGTCGTTAAGCGTCTGCCTTTGGCTCAGGTCATGATCCCAGGGTCCTGGGATCAAGCCCTGCATCGGGCTCCCTGCTCCGCGGGAAGCCTGCTTCTCCCTCTCCCACTCCCCCTGCTTGTGTTCCCTCTCTCGCTATATCTCTCTCTGTCAAATAAATAAATAAAATCTAAAAAAAAAAAAAAGAAATCAGAAAAATGTAAAAAAAAAAAAATCATAAAAAAAAAAGTAAAGATCACCTGAAATTGACTTCCCCCCAGCAAAGATAACCATGGTTAATTAACGTGGTTAATTAACCATGGATGTGTTATTATTAAAGGATGTGTTTATTATTAAAGTATTATTAAAATATTATTATTATTGAATGTGTTATTATTAAAAGAAAGGTTTGGTCCCTGTCCTATGGGCCCTTGTGGTCTGACCTCCTACCCAAATGTGACTGACACCCTCACACCAAATGCAGCCAAGCAGCAACATGTTAGGCTGGATAGGCCAAGAGTGGCAACCGCCACATTCCTGGGGGAAATCAGGGAGGGCAGCATGGAGGAGGTGATCCGGGAATTGGATCTCAAAGGCTGAGGTCCTGTGAGTTTGTCTTGCTGTCTTTTTTCCTCCCACCTCCCTTTGTTCAGTGCCTCTTTAGGATAAGACCAGCTCCCAGCCCCCATCCCACATGTGGCTGAGAAGGTGACACACTCTAGATGAGGCAAGTGGAGGGGGCCTACTCTGTGTGAGGAGCAAAGCAGCAGAGCATCCATGAGGCACAACTCCTGAGTATGTGTCATTCCACCACAGCCATTCCATTTGTGCAGTGCACAGCCTGTGGGGCCATACATGGTAGTCATGTAAGGAGAGTCCCTCCACCCCTACTTTAGTCCATGGCCTGGTTCCCACATTGGAGCAAGAGAAGAAACAGGGGCACTTGTTCCACCCTCCCTGGGTCTGTGTCCCCTTCCAGATAGCAGCGACAGTGAGCTGGAGCTGTCCACAGTGCGCCACCAGCCGGAGGGACTGGACCAGCTGCAGGCACAGACCAAGTTCACCAAGAAGGAGCTACAGTCCCTCTACAGGGGCTTCAAGAACGTGAGTGCTACCCATCCCTCTGGGAGAGGCCCTGACCAACCTAGCCCTCCTGTCCCAGGCTCTAGGAAGGCGGGACCCTGGCCCAGAGAGACCTTCTAGAAACTTCTCCATGGCATAGCAAATATCCCAGGGGCCTTTATGGGTCTTATGTTTTGTGGGAGAGCTGTCTGGGGTTGGTCAGGTTGCAGAATCAGTGTTCTGAAGGCACCATCCTTTCTATGTGTTCCCAATGCTGGCACAAGGGAGGAGCGAATGGAGGGACTTACCACTTACCCCTCCTGCATCACCCTGCCCCACCGCCAGGCTTTCCCCAGCTCGGGGGCTCAGTAGAGCCCAGCAGTATCTCAGGCAGCAGTATCCCCAGAGGGAGGAGAGAGGCCAGGCCCTGTGGAGTTGGGGTGTGGGGCTGGGGATGACTGTGGTCACTGAAGGGTGACTTCCTGCTGCAGGAGTGTCCCACGGGCCTGGTGGATGAAGACACCTTCAAACTCATTTACTCCCAATTCTTCCCTCAGGGAGGTGAGTCTGAGGCCAGGCCCCCTGGCTCTTCCCCAAATGCCCACGTCCCCACTGTGGCAGCTCTACAAACAGTGGGTGTCACTTTGACGGGGAGGGGATCCTTGCCTCCACCCTTTGCCTGCCAGAGGCCTGGTGCTGCCTCTGTCCTGTTGGAAGGGCAGAGAACTCCAGCTCTGGGTGCAGCTGGACCCCGCAGCGGCGCTGCCTGGGCTGGGAGCCCCAACACCCCCCAGCGCTCACCCTTGCTCTCCCCAGATGCCACCACTTATGCACACTTCCTCTTCAACGCCTTTGACGCCGATGGGAATGGGGCCATCCGCTTTGAGGTAGGTCCCCGATGACCCCTCCCACATCCCCTGCCCCTGTAGCAGCCCCCCCCCCCTGGGGGGGGGTCTCCCTGCCCTGGTGTCTCTCTCGCGCCTTCCGGAGGCCCAGACACAATCCTGGGTGTAGATGGGCCAGTGTGTCCTCCAGGGAAGGAGCGGACTGTGCTCGGCTGGCCCTGCGCCTGTGGCCATGTGGCCACCCTCTTCTCACTCAGCCTTTTCTTCCATTCCAGCCACACCAAGCCAAGAGGGCTGCTAAGGTACACTGAGGCCGTAGGAACCCCACGTGAAATTGCATTTGAAAAGGGGGCAAGGCTTCACCCAGGGGTCTGTGCTCCTGGCAGGATTTCAGGCACCCAGCCCCAGAATTTATCCCTAGCCTGAGCGGGCGCGGCGAGTGAAGCGTGGGGTGCCCGCCTCCGACACCTGCCCCCTAGGTGGGCCGTGCCTGGGCTCCGCGGGCTGGCCCAGCTGTGGGCTCCACGCCGGCTGGCCACACGGGACCATTCGAGAGAGGCCCCGTCTGTGGAGCCCAGGCCCCTAAAAATAGCTGCAGGCGAAAAGCTGAAACCTCTTTGGAGAGGAGAACCTTGCTGAGAGCCTGGCCTGATCGATAACCACCCTGCTCGGCTTCCAGCGCCAAGGGCAGCTGACAGGAAAGCGGACGAACAAGCCGGCCGGGCTCAGAAAGCCCCGGACGCGCCGGGGTGTAATAATAACCCGTGGGTAATGCCGCTCGGTTGATTTGTGTGCCGCAGCCAGCCTGCACGGTGACACAGGGCAGAGCGGGGGGCGGGGAGGCCATCGAGGCCACAGCCTTGCCCGGTGACCACAGGGGCCCCGCCCGCCCCGGGCTGCAGGCTCGGGCTGGTGCTATGGAAGCACAGTGTCGTCGTCTGTCCTGTCTTCAGTGATGCCTGCACGCGGTAAAACCCCAAGCACCACAGAGGCTGACAGGAAAAATTGATCGTCCTCCCTGTGACCAGGCTCTTGTGTATCCTTGAGGGGGCACCTAAGATTTCCAGGACTAAAGGGTGAGGAGGAATCATGTGAGGGACCCAACCAGGGCTCTGTGAGAGACTTCCTCTTGTTCAGAAATCAGCTGATGGGACAGCTCACCAGGGTCCTGGTGCACGGTGGGTGTCCGGAGGGTCTCTGTCACCCTCCTGTGGTCTTTGCTGTCACTCCCCTGAGGGAGGGGTCTGGTGGTGCCTTTAAGGTGATAGGTGGCGGTTCTGTCAATGGCTGAGTTGGGGGCGCTGGTGCCGAAGCTCCTCTGCTAGGTGCCTGCCTGCTCAGAAGGTCGGGCATCTCTGGCACCGTCCCGGGCCTTCTGCGGGCTTCTTTGCCATGAAATCAGCTCCTCTGGTTCCATATGCATATGTTTGTTTATCTTGAGGACCTACTTGATTTCAGTGTTCTGCTGTAGGAGAGCTTTTTCAGAAAGAGAGGAGGGCACGTATGTCCCCAGGGACCTTCCAGGCAGCAGGGCCCAATCCTGGGTGCACCACGGGTTGAGATCCCCATGGCAGGAAGGACTCCAAGGGGTGAGGGTGACTCTTGGCCCGCCTGAGACGGACTCTTCCCATGTGCCCTTAAAACAGAAAGTCAGGTCAGCTTACTGATATTGATAATGATCCCAATCCTTGTATATTCTTGAGAGATAAGACACATATTAATTCAAGTTTTTTGATGTGGTAAAATATTGTAACTTCCCTAACCCTCACCAAAAGAGTACCAGAAAACAAAACAGCACCCAAGCCAACCTCATCTTTGCCAAGCGGGAGCAGCCGTCCCATCTCAGGGTCTGCCTGCTGCGCTGTTCGTCTTGGGTCATCTGGGATGTGCCCACAGGAGGGAGCCTGGTCTCGGCACCCCGAGCCCAGCCCGGCACAGGCACAGGCACAGGCACAGGCACAGGCACAGGCACAGGCACAGGCCATGTGCCTGCAGATAGATGCACCAGAACCCTGCATGCCATCCGGGGCCTTTCTCATTCAACCTACTCGCTGTGCCAGCACGCTGCTGCTCTTTTGGAGCGTTAGGGCTGGTTATGTGTCTGGAGGAAGGGGCAGCTGCCTCTCCCTGAACTCCCTCTGCAGTAGCCCCCTTCCTGTGTCATTCATTGGCCAAACCCCAAGTGGGGGCAGTAACTGGAGAGAACGCGTGCAGGCCCACCATCATGCTCCCCTGCTCTGGCTGAGCGCCCGCCCCCGGAATGCACTCAGCGGTGTCTCAGCCTGGGAGCGCAGGCCTGCATCACCGTGCCACGGCAGGGCCTCTCATGCTCCCCAGGCTCTGCCTCAGGGACACAGCCGCAGAGCAGGGGCTGTGGAGGCGATGGACTTCGTTTGCCTCGGAGTTAAGATCAGGGGTTACAGCTAGGGACAGTCGCACATGAAACTGTGCTGTGTGGGGCTGGAAATTTAGAACTGCCAAGTACTCGGACATGTGTTGGCAGGACGTGGGGTCCTCTGTGGGTTATGGAGGATGGGCCAGTGGCCTCGCAGGGGACATTCCCACCCATCTCTGGCCTAGTACCATCACCACTGTTCTACGTACACACTTAGGGACACGGAATGGAGACATTCCTCGGTTGGTTTTGGCTGACTTCGAGGGCTGCGAGGCGGCAGGCCTGGGTCTCTGAAGACAAGATAGTGGGGGGGCGGAGTGTGGAGCTGGCGGCCCCCACCATGGCCCACATGAGAAGGGAGGCCCTGTGTGGGCCTCACCATTTCCTGCGGCCTCGAGTGGGACTGCACGCCTTTGCCTCCCACTGGGAAAGCCTGTCAGATCCCAGGGACGTGATTTCGGGGAGGCTCTACCTGTTCGCTAAATCACGCACAAGCTTCAGTGATGATTCCCCAAACTTGGGCGTGTAGGAACTATCACCTGTTTCTCCTTTAACATTTTCGTTTTCTTCACTGACACATGCACGGCGCACTTTGTGAGCCCCGTAGTGACAGGGTGTGCTTTGGAAAAGCAGCCGTGAAGCACCCACACACCCAAGGAGGCCACCACCTTCTGCTGTAGCCCGTTGCCACTGTTTCTTCCGTGTCCCCAGTAGCACACGTGGTGCTCCTTCCCGGCTGCCCGGTTCTAGACTACTAGCTGTCCGCTGGGGTGGGGGGGCAAGGAGCTGGGTCTCCCACGGTGCACACACCTTTCCCATATCCCCTGGCTTTCTGGAACAATAGGATTCAGGTGAGACAAGGACTGTGGTTTACTCTGATGGCGTGACTTTGATGCCCAGCTGAGCCTTCTGGTGAACTGATTATGTTTTCCTTTTCCAGCACACATTCTTATTTTGCCGCCAGTTAATGGTGGTCCTGATTGTTGAGTTGCCCGGGGGCTGTGATCTCATCATGAATTCAACTCCAGGCCTTTCTCCAGTGCCCAGACAGGCATCTCCATGGGGACGCTCCCCAGCTTCTTTCCCCCCAGGGTTGGGTCTCCTGGTTCCAGAATTCCTCATCTTCCTCTTCCTTGCTTTATTCTCCCTTTTCAGGGGTACAGCTATGAGCAGGGAGGTAACTTTTGAGGCTTTAGATGTCTGGAAGCATCTTCATTGCAGTCCTGCTCTCGCCTGATCCACTGGATGGGATCAGAGCTGCACTTCCCAGTGGTGGTGGCTGCACTTCGGTGGCTTTTGGCCTTGCGTCGCCGCCAGAGGCAAAGCATACGGAATCCTGACCCTGTGTGCGGGACCTGATTTCGTTTGTTCTGTTAGGTTGTGTTTTTCTCTCTCTGGAAGCTTGTAGGATCCTCTTTTTGCACCTGGTGCTTGCAGGCAACACAGTGGGCCGTTCCGTGCGCTGTGCTTGGCCTCGGCAGGACCTGGACGCTCCCAGCCTTCCATCCTGGGAAGTCCTTCTCTGCTTCTCCAGCCGGCTTTCCTCCATCTCCTCCGGTTCCCCCTGGAATTCCTGGTGCGCGAGCCGTGGTTCCTCTGGAGTGGACCTCTCGTTGCCCTCTTTTCTCTTTTCCAGCTTTTTGCCTTTTCACACGACTTTATGGAAGATTCCACGTGCTCTTCCAAACCTTCTTTTGAATCTGTCATTTTGCTTTCTTATTTTTAATTCCCAAGAGCTCTTTCTTATTCTCAATGACTCCCCTTTTGTAGCATCCTATTCTTATTTTGGGGGTGACAGATGTCTAATCTCTAGTTCTAGTCATTTTTGTTAAGTTTTTTCCTCCTGGAATAAGTTTTGTTTCTTCCAGACTGCTTCCCTGTTTCCCTTAGCCTCTCTCAGGTACAGGCCCCCTCAGATCCAGAAAATCTGATGTTCGAGGGGCAGCCAAACCCCTTGGTGCACAGCCTGGCGCCCTGTAGTTTGTTGTCCTCCACTCCCTGTCCCAGGACAGCCCTGCTCTGCTCCCTTCTTTCAGAAGAACCTGGGAGGACCCCATGGGGCAGGGAAGGCTCACCCTGCAAGCCTTCCAGGAAATGGAAGAAAGGGCTGGCTTTCCACCAACTGTTAGAGCAGTTGGAGTTTTCACAGGGAAGCCGCTGGAACATTCATGTCTTGGAACATTATAGTAAATTATCTGCACACCTCAGAAATGATTGCAGCACACAGGCGTGTCGTGACCCCAGAGCTGAGCCCTGTTAGTTTAGCTTTTAAGCTGTAAGTTTTCGAGCACCTGACATGCAGATCCTTGGTGAACTAAAAGGAGAGCGCCCCCCTTTATTAAAAGAGCACCCTGGGTCTTCTCTATCAGTAGTCATGTATTAAATGGGTCTGAGACAGCATGTATTTGAATATCTTTATTTGAGAAGATCAGTACCAGCCACCATGCCATACACACACACACACACACACGCTTGCACGCGCACGCACGCACATGCACACATGCTCACACTCGTGCACATGCTCACGCACACTCATGCACATGCTCATACACGCGCACACATGCTCACACTCGTGCACACATGCACATGCTCACACACACGCACATGCTCACGCACACACACACGATCACACACTCATGCACATGCTCACGCACTCATGCACATGCTCGCAAACGCACGCACACACATGCTGACATACCGTGCACATGCTCACGCACACACACATGCTCACACACTCGTGCACATGCTCACATGCACACACACGTGCACATGCTCACGCACGCACATGCTCACACACTCGTGCACATGCTCACACACACGCACACACATGCTCACACATTCATGCACATGCTCATGCTCACACACACGCGCACGCACGCACGCACATGCATACCCTCACACTGTGTTGACCTAACGGACAGCATCTGCTGGCACAGCAATGAAGCCTCCTCACCTGTAGAGGTGTGAAGCCACACAGCAAACTGGAAATGAAATCTGGGCGTTGGGCTGTCACTCCTCACCCTCCCCTCCCTCTGTAGGACTTTGTGGTTGGCCTCTCCATCCTCCTGCGAGGAACAGTCCACGAGAAGCTCAAGTGGGCCTTTAACCTCTACGACATCAACAAGGACGGCTACATCACCAAAGAGGTACCCCACCAAAGAGGGCTGGGGGGAGGGCTGCCCGGCCCCCTCCCCCACTGCTGCGCCATACTCCCAGCCTCTCTCCTCTGCTCCCCTGCTGCCCTGGCTGCCCTGTCTCCCTTTCCTGCTCAGAGACATGGCTCTCAGCTCCACCCCGGAGGGGACAGCAGCCTGGGGGCTCTCCCCCTGTCCAGGCTCTTGGTCCTGGACACCTGGGTGCAGGGAGCATGGTGCTTGTTGTATGCCCCTCACCACGCAGCTTGATCTAGTTCGATAAATGTTCTTAGGCCATTCTTTCTCACAGGGAGGTCCTGAGGGAGACCCAGGTGGAGAAGCTGGGGACAGAGGGTAGGAGGAGTTGGCCTTGGCTCCCACCAATCAAGGGGGCAGGGTGCTCCCTGGGGGCAGGCGGGGGCCCTCGCCATACTGGCCTACAGTTAGGTTTTGTTTAGCCCAAACGTTGTTTTGTATATGAAATAGTCGCTACAGTTTCACATTTTGGAGAGGGCACATCAGAAGCGATCTCCAGCTTCTGGCGAGTCAGAGGCTAGTGCTGAGTGCACTAGATGGGGGTGAGCTCGTCCCCATCCAGCTGGGGCGCCACCCCTGCTCACTCACTGCTGCCTTGGAGGTGCCCTCCCCGCTTCGACGCAGCCCCTCCCCTTGGGGCCTGGTACGTCCCACGTCCTTGCAGCAAAGCTCACGCCAGCCACTCCGGCCCCCCTCCAGGAGATGCTGGCCATTATGAAGTCCATCTATGACATGATGGGCCGCCACACCTACCCTATCCTGCGGGAGGACGCGCCTCTGGAGCATGTGGAGAGGTTCTTCCAGGTGAGAGCTCTAGCCCCGGACCCTGAGGGGAAGGAGGGATGGGCTTCCCCCTCTTAGGACAACCCTGGGCAAGTGACTCCCCTCTCTGAGCCCTCCTCCCCCCATGAGGAGGTTAACCTTGCATCCCCCACTGGGCTGGTTGTCAGGATCCTGGGGAGCAAATTAAACCATCACCCCCACTCCCCGATCCACTGAGCCTTATCTCAGGGCAGGCCAGGGCTTGTGAATTCCAGGGCAGTTGACACCCCAGGCCAGCGTTCTGGTGCCTTCCAAGAGTTCTCTCAGCCCCTCCAGAAAAACCGTGCAAGAGGAGTGGGGTTGGGGTGCTCTGTGTTCACGAGGCCGAAAGGGGCTGAAGTTTCCACCTTCCATTTGCTGGCGGCCCATCCTGTGCCTTGGTTGCTCCATCTGCCCTAGCTGCTTGTCGGGGAGGTGAGGGGGTCAGATGAGCATGGGGATGCATTCTGGGAAGTGTAAGCCCAAGAAAGCTGCTGGGCAGTGGCTGGGTGTGGGGAGCAGACCGGGGAGGTGCCAGAGAGGTCAGCTGTGCCACAGAGGTAGCCGGGGAGGGCCTTTTACATGGCCTGGATCCAGGGTAGAGGACAGAGGAGACAGGTTGGGATGGAGGGGACCCACAGACTCACTGAGGACATGGCTTGGGTTACAGAAAATGGACCGGAATCAGGACGGGGTGGTGACCATTGATGAGTTCCTGGAGACCTGTCAGAAGGTAGGTGGGCATCAGGAGTTGAGGACACCCAGGGTCCTGCCCCTGCCAGTCCCCGAGCCCCTCCCGACCTCCAAACTCCATGTTCACACCTTTGTCTGAACCCATCCCTTTGCCACCTGCTCCTGCCAGCCCACAGCCCACAGGCACACCATCCTTCAGATGCCCTCTAATGCTTCACATCAGAGGGGCAGACGTGGGCCAACAGGAGGATGGTTGGGCCCTGGGGCCCTCAGCGTGGGGCCACACTGTGAGAAAGGCGCCTGGAGCCTCCCCCAGCCTTGCTGTTGACCTTCCTCTTCAGAGCACCCTTGGGGGCCGTGACATGTGCCTCCACTGGGCTTAGCCATCTGCATCAGTCCCAGAGTGGCCTCTCGGGTGCCTCTGGCCTCCATCTGAGTGCAGCCAGGGAAGTTTGTCCATCAGCAAGTCAGCAGCCCCCAGATGCGCTTGCAGTCAGGCTCTGGGGCTGAAGAGAGCCTGTGCCTGACCAGCTACCCCTTCACCCGGGGAGAGAGACAGAGGGGTCACTGCAGGGTTCCGAGTCCCTGGCAAGGATCTGCTCAAGGTAGGATCAGTTTGGGCATGGCCCCGCCCTGCCCACCCGGGGTCTGACCAGGCGTCTCCTCCTTCTCTCTCCACACAGGATGAGAACATCATGAGCTCCATGCAGCTGTTTGAGAACGTCATCTAGGACATGTTAGTGGGGAGGGGTCCTTGAGTGGCCACCACCACCTCTGCCCCCAGAGAAATCTCAATCCTGCAGGAGCAGCCTCCATGAGAAACTTTTTTTCTAATATATTTGCAAAAAGCGAACAGTTTGCTCTAGACACACACACACACACACACACACACAGAGCCCATTCCTTTGGGCTGGTAGAGGGGGTGCAGAGGTCAGGGAGGGGCTGAGTCCGGCTGGGAGCTGGATCCAAGCGATGAGAGCTATACTACCCGGCCAGCCCCCGACCAGCTTCCGGCCAGCAGTGGAGTGGGGCTGCCTCTGGAGTGGGTGCTGAAAGAGCCGTGTGTGCAGGCTGCTGGCCACGGGGTGCTGCCAGGAAAGCGCTCGAGATCCCCTACAGGAGAGGGTCCAGTCTCCAAAACAAAGGCCCCACTGGTGTGAGTCCCCTCGCCCCTCCCTCCCGCCACCCTTCCTTCCCACCACACATGGGCCAGGTTGTGGGGGCTGCTCTGGCCTTCTTGTCCCCCAGCTACTCCCCTGCCACCCAACTTCATTCCCAGAAAGCTCGTCACCACAGGACACTTGTGGGGCAGTGGGATCAAGAGAGTTTGGACAAGGAAAGAGGTAGTAATGGAGACAGCCTGCTGTTTCCTGGAAACACTTCCCTGGGGTCCCAGGATGCCTGCCACTCCATTGGCAAGCTCCGGTGGTAAGGGACCACTGGACTCTCTCCATCCTTTCAAGCTCAGGGATTGGGTTTCTTGGTGGAGAATCTTAGGGGAACTGTCTGCCAAGTCCACTGAAATGGAAGAAGCCTTACCTTGCCTCCGTCCTAGCTCAGTGGGAATGAGGTAGGTGGGGCTGCCCATACCCCTCTGGCCTAGAGCGTTCAACCCCAAGGTCATAATAGGTTCTAAGAAGAGGTCACAAGGATCAGGGACTGGCAGCCTGGGAGCCCAGATGGCAGAGCAGGCCTGAGAAGGGGCTTCTCCCTCCTTTCTTGTCAGCTCCTGTCTCCCTTGGCCCCCAGCTTGGATGAGCTCCCCCCCACCACTTTCTGGTTAGGGTCCTAGAGCAATGTGGCCATCCCTCTATACACAGGCTCACCCAACCCCATACAAAAAGCACAAGCACCCAGAGCAGCTCAGGTTGCAGCTCACAAAGGGATCCAAGGACACTCTGTTTTTCCAAGATCGGGCCCTCCTAGAGGGCTGAGGCCTGGGTCACGGTGGCCCCCAATACAGGGAGCTCTGGAGAAGAAGCATGGGGATCCGTTCTGTGCCTCAGAGCCATGCGGGCTCAAAGCCCATCCCCAGCCCAGCCCAGCTCACCAACATTCAAAAGCACAAATCGTAGGGCTTCCCCTTGTCTGGGTTCTGCTCTGGGATGGAGGCTGAGGTCAGCCTGAAGGCAGAGCCAAGAGTGAGGGCTGAGGGGCCTGAGGCTGAGTGGTAGGTCAACAGAAACCCCTAGGAAAGAGAGAGAGGCTGCTCTTATCTGCCCAGGCCTCCCCAAGAAGGAACCCAGTCCCAGGTAGCGTGGGCCTGAGGAACATTCCCATACAATACATTCCACCGGCTGCCACCCCCTCTCTGCTCAGGCCTGGCCCAGGGGTGAGCAGGGCCCTCAAAGGAAAGGGGGAATGGCGGAGGCCGTGGAGATTGGCCTGGTTTGGCCATGGGGACCCCTTGGCACCCACACACAGGTGGTCCTCTCCCTCGGAATTGTACTGACACCCCATCTCCAGTTTGACTGGGGGGGCGGGTCTTTCTTCCCTCCTCCAGGAGGGCATCAGCTTTCCCTGGCTCAGGGATCTTCTCCCCCTCTGCCCACCCCCAGCCCCAGCCCAGCCCTCCCAGCTGGCGTAGCTGTGCTTCTGAGGGGCCGAAGCCATAGGAGAGGGTCACCACCATGCCCCTGCCCCTCTTGGCCTGGGGCCAGACTGGCTGCACGTCAAGCAGGAGGGGTCTGTCTCCCACCCTGGGATGCAGACTGGCCGCATGTCTGCATGGCAGAAGCGTCTCCCTTGGGTGCAGCCTGGGAGGGTGGTTCCTGTTTTCAGCGCCCACCAATATTCAGTCCTGTATATTTTAATAAAATAAACTTGGCAAAGAAGAGGGACTCTTGTTGGCTTTATCCCAACTCTGGATTTCAGCCCAGCCCCTCCCATCCCTGCTGCTGTTAGCCATGGCTCCTGCCCAGGGCTGTGCTGGTAAATGTTTGACATTCCCTGAATTGTAGCATTTGCCAATGTCCACGCTCACTGGCACTCGCTCCGCTCCGCTTGCTTGCAGGCTCCCGCTGTGATGTCACTGAAGGTGGAGCCAGGAAGGGAGGCCCGCCGTTGGGAAGCCTTTACTAGAAGCTCCAGGCCCGCAGCCTCTGCAGAGCTGGTGGGGCAGGGTGACTTCTTGAGGTGCCATTTGTATTTCATTCCCAGACCATTTTTCTTTTCCAGTTCCAAGAAGTCGTTTCTGCCGTGTCCCCTTGGCTGGAGGGTGCAGGTTACAGGGCAGAAGCAGAATTGGCCTGAAGATAGCTTCCTCTCCTGGCTTTATTTTCAAAAGTGTAAACTCGGTGAGAATGATGCCAGGGGCGCAGCAAGAAGTGAGAACCTGGCAGGGAGGAGAGGAAGGGCTTTCCCCAACTCAAGGATGGGGAGGAGGGAGGTTCTGGGGGGATCTGCAGTGCTTTAAGGACCAGACCCCATGCCATGTGACATCACCTCCATAGTGAACACAGACCCACGCCTCCATGAGTCACCAGGTTTGGCTGATGGCCATCACAGCAGTAGTTGGGAGGACAGGTGACAGGAACCCACTTCCACCCCCACACACTCCAAAGACCCCTCTCCACCTGAGCCCCAGGGCCTTGGCACAGTCCAGGTAATGAAGCCCTGATCTTGCTGTCTCGGATGGGATATCCTGCATTTGCCATGGGCTGACCACCATGCTGAGCATGTTTACTCTGGTCACAGCCTAAAGGGCACAGATGGGGAAGCTGGGTTAAAAGATCTTGGGACCTCCCAGTCATTGAAGAATGGAGCTAAGCTGGTGGCTCTAGGCTGGTTGTAAGCACTGACTCACTTCATGGGTCTACAGAGCTCAGAGTGGGGAATGCTCATCCATCCATCATCCCTCCTCCCTCCATCTATCCATCATCCATCCTCCTTCCAACCATCCATCCATCCATGCATCCATGCATCCATCATCCATCCATTTATACTTCTGTTTTCCACTCATTCACTTGGCACCTTCCTGACCTGGACACTCAGTGCAGAGGAGGTGCCTAGGGTATGGTATGCCTTCTGTGTGGCTGGATGGCAGTGATGGGTCCAAAGGAGCCCTGGGTTCAGGGACAGGAGACATTAGTCCTGACCATAAAACGTATGTGGCCTTGGACAAGTCCCATCCTCTCTTGCTCTCTGGATGTTGGTGTAGAAGAGAAGGAGGGAACACTTCCCAATTCATTTTAAAGAGTGGTATTACCAGGAGTTTTAAAAAAAATCAGTCACGGGTAGGATAAGAAGGAAAAATTACAGGATATTCTCCACTATAAAACAAAGATGTAAAAAAAATCAGAGTATCAGTAAACTCATTTCAACAATGTATGTTATATGTACATGATATATGTAATATATCACGACAGATTTGGCTTTATCCCAGAAATGCAAGGTTTACCATTTAAAAATATAGGCACCTCAGTTTCCAATAACATGGAGTGTCTAGGTAACTGGATTATTCCTTCCACTGAAAACAACTAAAAATCTAGAATAAATAACTTCTTAGAAACATCATTGAACTGACCAAAAGGTAAAGCATTCTTGGGCCAGGAACTGAGTGGATGTTTCCACATTCAGAGATGTAAGCAGAGCCCTGAAAGGACTTTTTGAAACAGGTGAGCTTGGCTGAGCTTTGGTTTTGCATCCTTCCAAAATCTAAGGTATAAGAGATCAAGCCCAGGATCCACCCAGGTGAGAAGTCTATCAAGAAATCCTTCCTCCACAGAACTGGAGCCCCAGTTACCCCTTGGAGATAATGAGCGTGAAATAGAAACAAACCGAGCTGTTTCCACTTTCTCTCTCAGGAGGCTGCAAGAAAAATTGACTATCTCAAGCCCCCAGTAAAACTGGGAAAATTCACCCCTAAAATGAGAAAGCATGAGGGGCACCTGGGTGGCTCAGTCAGTTGAACATCTGACTCTTGATTTCGGCTCAGGTTGTGATCTTGGGGTCCTGGGATCGAGCTCAGCAGGGAGTCTGCTTGAGATTCTCTCTCTCCCTCTCCCTCTGCCCCCACCCTGCACGTGCGCATGTTCTCTCTCTCTAAAATAAATAAATAAACCTTCAAAAATATTAGGAAGCATGAGCTAAACTTTATGAGTTTGCAGCCCAAATCCACAAGAAAATATGATGGAGAATTTAATTGGTAGTGATCTCTGTAAAGTCGAAGGAAAATGAGCAGATTTCAGTCAACAATGACTGAGTATTCAAAGAAACACGACACCGTAAGTGAGGTTTAGCAGAAACACCAGGCTGCGTCAACAGACCCAGAGGGCTCCCGATAATGGAATTACCAGACAAAACTATAAATGACTATATTTGTTTATAGAAATAAAAGGCAAACTTGAAAATGCATGTTGAAAACACTATACTGAATGCCTAAGCATATCTGAAAAAAGAATCAGGGGATGGGGGGGAAAAGTGTATATATATATATATATATATATATATATATATATATATATATATATATAGTGACTAAATTTAAAACTCAAGGAATGGGTTTAGCAGGAAATCAGGCCCAGCTGACAAGATCATTGGCTTGGAAATCAATCTAAAGAAATTATTCAAATTCTAACTCAGAGAAATAAAGAAATAGAAACTATATAGAGGTAAATAAACATAGAAAATAGAGTGAGAAAGTAAACCTTAAATCTCAATGGAGTCCTGAAAAAAAAAAAAAAAACGGGAATGGCCAAGAAGTTCCAGGCTTGACTTAACACTGTTTTTGTCATGGTTCTCCTGGCCAAAGGGGATGGGTGTTAAGGAATCGGCTCACGTGATTGTGAGGACTGGCAAGTCTGAAATATGCAGGGCAGGGTGGCAGGCTGGAAACTCAGGCAAGAGTT